ATGCAAAGTTTAAGAGAAGATCATCCTATCACAGAAATGGCTATGCAATAAATCCTTTATTTTAACTTAAATTTTCGATTCTCACCATAATGGCTAACATTGATCCTGATGGAAGTTGCATAGTTGCTTATCACTGTCCTTACCCTAAGAGAACAAGACTTTTTAAAAATATGCTTAGCATCAAATTATCTAATTTCCCCAATAAATTAGATACTATTATTATCTGAATCTTTTCTAATATAAATCTCTATTTCTATTGCTGATTTAAAAGACTACATATATAAAAATATAAATAATATCCATCTGTAGAGTTGATTTCCAGTTCAGCTTCTAAGCTGAACATTATTCTGGGCAAATGAAATTTTACCAAGCTAGAAAATACCAAGAACCCTCTCTAATTAACTTTTCTCCAAGAAGAAATTTGTCGTCAAAGCTACATGGACACCCCTTTTTATCAAGCAGAAGTCAGAGCTATGACACTAACTTCACATTATTGAAGAAAAATGCTTTGTCTCTTGAGAAATCAGGCAGCCCTGTGCTTTTAGGGAGGGCTACTTGGAGATTGAGATTCTTTGTTATTCTAAAAAAACTATTGCGTTCAAATGCAAAACAAAAATGGAGAAGCCTAAAGGCCAGCTGGAAAAGTTCAAAAGAAGTCTTTTCATCAAAATCTTAATGGCTTTAGTGTCAGGGCTTGGGGACAAGGCATTTGGGAGTGTGGTTATCAGCTGTCAGGCACCTGTTGTGTGGATTTATGACACAAGTTATGGACTTTAATTTGTTTCCAATGAGATGTTGAGACTAGCTCCTCATGCATCATAGATGACAGAGCCTATTTTAGAAAGGCAGCTAATCACATTTAAGTAAAAATTTGTCAGTTTTTCAAGTTGTTTAACTTTATCTAAAATTTCACATTCAGTAAGCTGTAGTTTTTCTTAGTCGACATTTATTATTCCCATTTTTGAGGTTTTAGAGATGTTTACCTAGTATGTAATAAATGAGTAAATAAGGTATTTTTCCATTCTTTAAAGTACAGAGTTCAATTATGCAAGATCACAGTTTTAATAAATGGAGTTACAATAAGCCGCAGCTTGGCTCCTCAAATCCCTATATCACTCTTGCATAATAAGTCAGTACCTAAGATTTACAAGTTCTGAAACTAAATGTGATTCACATGTGCATGATTCAGAAGAGTTATGTAGTATTAAATTCTATTGAGTTAAGCTTTATAAACTTAACTTCGTATTCTCTGATTAAATATTTGCTCAAAAATCCCAGTTTTAGAGTGAACTCTTCAGTTTCTATAATAGTTACCCTGGACCATCTCACTGTCTTATGAAGCAAATTTTCTTGGTATTGTTTCTGAATTTTATTTCAAATAAAATCTCTAGGTGGTAGGCAGAAATAAGAAATACTGGCAAACTGTTCAGCTATGTATCATTCAAAACTTCCGATTAACCTGTAACCCAGCACATAACCCATGATCATCCACGCTACTTCGTAATGGAATGGAAGGGTTTAAACAGCCCTTTAGTCATCAGTAATCCCAGGAGGTGTCATTTAGGTAAACACAAATTCCAATAATTCACATTCATAGTTAATCACTTCAAATCTTTGCTTGGTGTTTAGGAAGTAAGCAGGACATTTTAGAAAAGGTGTCATTAAAACAATTGCCTTTTTTATAAAAAGATTCAATACTGAAAGAGATATGTGACATTTATATAGGAAATCTATACTGCCTAATAAATGAAGCACTACTAAACTTCTTTCATAAGACATTAGAGTTTCTAGTTCATTCAATAGGCATTTTTCTAACAGGAAGCAAAACAAACTCTCTGCCCTCCTGGATCCTGTGTTCCAATGAGGGGAGACAGAAAATGAGCAAACAAAAGAGCGAATATATGTAGGATATAAGATTGCGCAAAGTGCTGTAGAGAAAAATTGATCAGAGTAAAACATGTTTAGAAGAGAAAATTTCCAGAATATTTCAGGAAAGGGTTAGAATCAATCTTAAAAATTAGCCACAAATTGTCAACATTAGAGAAATAGAGATTGCCAGGAGGACTGGGAAAGCTAAGGATGTTCTGGGCGGAATACAGAGCACATGCAAAACCACCTATCTTTGTTCAGAAAACAGTGGGAGGTTGGATGTGGCTGGATATTTCTCTTCAAGGCGGAAGTGATCGGATGTGAAATATAGGTGTTAGGATGGACAAGAAATGCCTTGGTATAGCATGGTAAGAAGATTGGAATAAAACCTGGGCTTGTGGAGATCACAGTCTCCAGGAAGTGCAGCATAAAGTTGTTTTCATGTAATAATTAGAAATCAGAGCAGTTTTATGTATTAATTTAATTGATTACATGTTATTCTATTCTGTATTTTCTATTACTTTCTAGACAATGTTCCAAATAATAGAAGCTAATTTAAACAAATATTTTTAAAGACAAGAAGACCAAGTGTTGGCTGTAGTAAAAGAATAGATGCTCTCAATTTCTGACATAGATGACTACAATTTAGTACAATTAGCAAATTAGTGTAATTAAACAATATGAGAGGATATCAGCTAAAGTGCTCATTTATAAAGAGTAATCAACTAGCAAACAATTGTAGAGTCACAAAGGGAGGAGAGGGCTGGGGCAGATGTAGGAGGCGCAGGAGGTGGATAAAGGAGCACTAAGGAGGGGAAAGTGTGATCAGAGGAACAATGGGGCCATCATTTTAGGCAAGAGGACAAAGGGTGACAGCAAGAGGAAGGATGGGAAATCCCTGGAGCTGCAAGAATCTTGGCTTGACCTCCAAGTGAGCAGATCAGAGGGCGATGGGAACAATCTGGGTAGGTCAGGGTGAACCTGGAAATCTGCAAAGAAGATTAGACTTGGTATATGAGTGAGCAAATGCATGAAGATACATTCTTCTTTCCTAGAACTTTTAAAAAAATCAAAACTGTAGACTTGATAGATGCAACAGCTATAGGGAAACAGGGCACAGGAGAAATGAGCTCAAGCGGGTGTCTGGCAGGTGAACAGCCGCCGGGCAGTGGGTGCACAGGGTGGGTTTGTGGGCGGGGGGGGGGGCAGGGCAGAGTGAGCGATGGATTGCATAACCGTGTGTGTGTAGGTAGGTTATCTCATTTGATCCTCGAAGCAATCACAGGCAGTAATTAATATCACTCTCACCTGACTCTTGGGATGAGAAAACAGAAGTCTAGAGAAGTAACTTGCTCAAAGTCAGGTAGCAGATTCGAAGTGAAATGGGTGAGCCTTGGACTCCAGGTCTGAGGAGCCTCCTAGACCATGGCTTCTCCTCTCCAGACGGTGCCCCAGTGTCCAGGAGATGTCAGGCGTGATAAGTTCTTAAGGGCAAAATACGAAATGAGTTTTCCTCTTAAACTGACACAAAATTCCTGCTCTCCTATCTATTTATATTTTATATCTTAAAAAGTAACTAAAAATTGAAAGGTCCGTAATCCCACCCATTCGAAACACCAAGCAGCTTTCCATGCGCAATACCTCATTTTATGTAGCTGTGTTCACAGCACCAGTACCATTTGTTCCTGTGTTTTTAAAGTGTTTTAAGTGTTTCAAAAAGAAACTCATGTTTACTATTTAGTGGTTGAATAATATTTTATTGATTTGAGTACCACAATATAGTAAACCCGAAATGTTTAAGGTTCGGGGTTATTATAGAGAATGTTGCAACGAATAATTCCTTACAAATATATTTTTGCTTCTCTAGAGGCAAAAAATCCCACCGAAGGACTTACAAGATCGACTGATTTAAATATCTTTTTACCCCTTGCATACATGGCCACAAAGCTGTCTAAAAGGCTTGTGCTAATTAACAATTCAAACAACAATAAACAAGAAAACCCATTTCCCTGCCTAATCTCAGCTGTACGGGAAATTTCTTTCTAATCTTTAGTATGTGTCAAATTGACAGCTCAAAGCAACTGCAGTTTTGATTTTTTAAAAGTTCTAGCAAAGACGAATGTGTTTTCGTGTGTTTGTTCACTCATTTATGTTTCCCCTTGTGGAGATTTTTTTGCTCTCGGTCTATTAAAGTCTCGATATTTTCCCATCTCTTTTCTTTTTCTCTAGTGAAGCTCTCCTTATGTGAACTCAGAAGACAAGCAACTAGAATTAAAATTGTGCCTCTAGCTGTGTTTATTATTTGGGCTTTTTTCCCAATCTTTTCCAGAAAGACTTAAAAGGCATTACTGATGCCTTTGTTTATAAACCTCACCTTACTCTGAAATAATTGGTGTAGATCAAAAGAAGTAGAAGGATATGTGCAGAGTGATCAGCTGATAACCATTTCTCCTTTCATTTACCCAACATAGGAGCTTTCACATTAGAGAGATCACACGCAAGAGTTGTTTTCCCCCTTGGGGAACCAGCTCCATTTTGGTGGGGAGGTGGGAGGGGAAAACCTTATCTTCAGAGCACGAATGGAAATCAATGAAAAGAGCTGTCTGTTTGCTCTAAGGAATGGAGTGGAATATAGAGGGGAAGGGAGGTGGAGTCGGGATATTTGTTTTTCCTTAAGTGGTTATAATTAAAGCCTTCCACCCAATTGCTCTGTGAACCAGAAAAAGGTATATGTGAAGTTGAATGTTTTAAGAACATCACAAAGGAGCCTTACAGCTCTCGCTAGAGAAAACTTGCTCTCCAGCGGCACCTTGTGGCAAGTGAGTCATCCTGCAACTTAGATATTCAGTTTTCATAATCAAACTAAATTGCTTCCGGTAATGTGCTACCTCCCTCTTACCCACTCCCTTCCTAAAAAAGCAAGGAATTTGTGAAGAATTATGCAAGGTATGGAATTTATGTGTAACAGTCACTGAATAGTAAGCTGCATCTCCATATACATCTGGAGTTGTGTGTCAAGCCAAGCAGCTGTATTGATTGTTAATATTGCATCCTTAAAGTAGTCTATGGAATTTTTAAGGTCATTCATTCAAGAAAACACTAATTTAGGGCTTTAAATTTTTATTTTCAAGGTGGAAACAAGTTAACCAACCAGCATTTTCGTCTGAACTGGGCATGGATCTCCTTTGAAAAGGAATATTACCTGATCAATGAGGACTCCAAATTTCTAGATGTCGTTCTTAAACGTAGAGGTTACTTGGGAGAAACTTCTTTTATAAGTAAGTTTAATTTTTACTTCTGTCTCAAAATTTTATTTTCTAACAAAGGTTTATAATTTTGCTTTAGTGATTAAAATATCCATTTAGTTCACTGATATAGTTTTAAAGCTTAGGGAGATGTTGCCATTAAATGTTCTTTAACTGCTGAAGAAACAAGGACATATTTGTGTCAAGGTATGTAGCTCCTCATTCCTTCTACCTAAATGTGATCTTTTACTGATATAAAATAGCGTTACAAAATTGATAATAACTCGTAAGTTAAAAAATAAAACAAATGTCAATAGATCTTAGAATAGGCTTAGGCAAATTTGTAATTTATCCATAAGATAAAAGTCTTCTGAAACAACAATGTAAAACATATGTGAGAGCTACTTTAATAATAAGTAAACAAAAAAACTATTCAATAATTTATTAGGCACTGAAGTATAATTTACTGTTTGTTTGTTGTGTTTGAACGCTCTGCTAGTTCACTAAAAGTTGCATGATACCAGTGCTCTACATAAAAGATAGGTGTTGTGACTTTTCTTTGTAACCAACAGTAAAGTATTAAATATTCATCATTTTCTTCTGCTTTACTTCTTTTAAATAAAACTGGGAATCAAAAGCAAATGAATAAAACCTTCATTCAGCCCCAATGCAAGCTCATATTTGATTTCATATAAGCATAAAATAGGGAAAGTAGGTAGCATGTTGGTAATTTTAAGCAGTAGTATAGTTGGCAAAAAATATTTGGTATGTTGATGGAAAATGGCAGCACCTCAAGCAATTATATTATTTTTGGTACCATATAGTTTGTAGACATCTAAGCCAATAGAATTTGCATGGTGTAAAAGAGCTTTCATTGAATGAGATTATCAACTAAGGTAGGAATCTACGAAAATGGTGGCAAAATAAAAAGTTACCTTGTGTTTGTGTCCAAAATGATTATTTTGAAATTTTACTGGTCCATGAACTTCAAAAGTCTTAAACAGTAGATCCCTATCCACAAAACACACACACACACACAGACACACACACACAGTCACACCACGCCACCACCACACCTTTGCTGCAGCCGCAACCCATACCACCCACTGTGCTTTCCCCTGACATGTTTGGATTCTGGTTATTAATTGCCCCATACTTTAAAGATACATTTTTTTTTGTTTGTTTTTTAACTTTAGAAGCCTGGTTTTTACCCTACGCTCTCACTATCCTTGGTGGTTATTCTTGCTCCAGGAAGCTGGTCTGCCCGCAGACCCACCCGCAGCCTCTGCGTCCATCTTTTTTATTTCCATGTGCCTGCACGGGGCGTCCTTCACACTTTTTGTATTTAATCTTCTATGACATAAGGAATGCTCCCATTGCTGTCTCTTTTAGGAACACGTTCTCTCCTCACACGCATGCTCTGCAGATCCTGTCTTATTGTCAGTGAGAAGTTAGTTCTAACTGCTTTGTGCTTTAAAATATAGCAAATACGTCATAGGGAAAATGATAACTAAAAAACAGAGCACCTTAGCAATTATTAAGAATTTGTTATCTATTTGTTTTTTACCTGAATTCCTACTCCTAGTGAATCTACTTAATTATGCACAACTAGCCTACCGATAGCATTGAGAAAGCTAATAGGTGGAAAAGATTTTAAAACTACCTTTTTGCATTTTTCCCTTCACTGCCTTTTTTTCCCTTAAGCTGAACACTAAAATGTCAAACAAGAGCTCTTTTCGTTGTTATTTTTTTTTCAATGAACTGTTATTGCCTACAAATGTGGAGATACCAGCAATTCTACAAAGGCGCTATAGCTTTACTTGGTTCACCTCACATAGTTATTTAGTAACCTGGGATGATATTAATAGAAAGTGGGAGAGATTTCTGTGTATGATCCACATCCTTCAGTCATTAAAGATGGGAATAGAATTTATGCTAGAACCTAGAATGGAAATCAGATTAAAGTGAAGGGTAGCCTTGTAGAAGTTCCGCAATGAATATTTTCACATAACTGTTCCCCCCATGCGAAATCCTCTTTCATTTATGAACTTTAAGAACGAGATAGATTGCATTATAGCAAAAGACAGAATATCACTTATAGCTAAAGACAAAAATATCACCTACAGCTAAAGACAATATTACTTATAGCTAACGACAAAATAGCACTTTAGCACAACTAAGAAATCTTAAATTACATGAGATTTGTAGATGTATTTTCTGAAAGATGATTATTCACTTCAGAACCATTGTAACCCATTAATAAAGTAAATATGTATTTGTATTTCACAATAGTATTTGCATTTCAAAGATCTTATTGCTACTGGTTATTGAACATTTACCATAGGCAAAGCACTTCATTAAGCACATTAAATGCTCTGTCTTTTTCACTCCTTACAACAACCCTTTATTCGCTGACTCAACTAATATTTTCATGAGTGCTCATTACACGTGGGGTGCTGTGTCAGGTAACAGACTATGAAGTGATAGTGACAGCTAGCGTCCATTGAGTTCTTATAATGTGCCAGGCCTAGTTCCTGATACTATACGTGAGTCAACCCCCAAGAAAAGAGTACCATTATATCCTCCATTTTATAGGCGAGGATACGGGGAGGTTGTGACATGTCCAAAATTACCCAACTAGTAAGGGACAGAGTTGAGATTTGGCTCCAGAGCCCCACTCTTAACCACGGCACCACAGTGCTTCTTACATCCTCAACAACTGAGAGAAGTTAATAACTTGCCTACAATCCCACAGCTGTTACGTGGCCGAGATGAAATATAAAATCTATTCTCTCATTCCACAAGTACCTTGCTTAACCTCCATGTTATTTTTCTATGTCAGAGGAAAAAGATGCAATGGTAGTTTCATGTAATAACCAAAGTAAACAATTATGGGTGTTTTCAGCAGCAACAATTGGAATTTGGTATTGCAGCTTGGATTTTATCAGATTGGATGACTTGACCGTCATGCAGTAGGGATGACTCGTTGGAACTAGCGCACATTCCTTGTATCATACTGATTCTTTTTTGGTTTTAACTGCTTTTGAATATCCAGGAATATAATGCATTGCTGATAAAACAAAACAAACAGTAAAGCGGGCAGTAGCTATCAGAGGCAGACTAGCAGATTTTTGCCACTGGGGATAGCTGGGTCAGTGAGCAGCATGTGTTCTGGAACCTCAGAGAATGATTCCTTTCATCAGCACCTCGGCAGTGAATTGTAGTGGATCCAAGAGGTGTTGACAACCACTCTGTGTGCATTAAGAACCAAAGAGCTAACAGGAAGTCTACAGCCTTCAGCAAGATATGCAGTGCTGTAATTCCTGGTTCTGTGCCCTTTTTTCTCTTGCCATTAAATAAATTGTGCTTTACCTGCTACTGAAAAAGAAAAATACAATTCAGTATTTATGTCAGTTACCTGTCTGAGATCTATAACATGGAAATATTTTTAGTAAAGCCTTTATTTTCATCCTCCTTTTAAGGTTAAACTAACAGTCATTGATATAATCAGATGAATAAAGATTTTTGTCCATTTTGTTCTCCAATACAGCCCTAGCATGTAGAACAGGGCCTGTCACATAATAAGTACTCAATAAATGTTTGTGGCCGAATGGATCTCATTTGGTCCAGTTTTATTTGTAGTTTGAAAAACAAAAGAAATTTTCCAAAACTGTAATAATTTTTTGATTAAATGAGAAATGTTACAAATAATTTATTTTCAAGCTTTTAAAAGTCCAACAGTCACAAGACTTTATTTTTCCGGCTTTTAAATTTGTCTGTCCTATCAACTTCTCTGAAAAATGCCCATGTTTAGAGAAATATATTTGAAAATTATTCTATTAACCTGACTCATGAAGTGGTGCTGATTCTATACTTCAGGATACAACTACTATAGTAATTTTGTAATTTTTCTATGGCATTGAATTTGTTCACTGCTTTTTGAATACTGTATCCTGTGGTTTGAGTACCTGTCAAAGAAATAATGATGAGACCATGCTGCAATAGAGGTAGAGACTCAGAGATCTTCAACCTTCCCGGCTAACTGAAGTTGACCTTGAATGAACTGCCAGAGTAAGCAAAGCATGGCGCTTATAATAACCATATATATTTAGCTCTCCAATTCTGTTCACATGGTTTCATGGAATTCTGGGGTGCTTCACAAAGAAAAATCTGTTAACAATTCATGTTAACAAACATTGAATTGCATTCTTTTAAGGGTCCTAGTTCCATTAAGGGTTTAGGGAATAGTATAACTTTTTATTATTCTCCCTGGCCATTTACGACTTAGATTATGAAAGAATCCTTTGAGTCACAGAGTTTCTTATTGGCCTGTATTTTCTAGCTAGTGAATTTTTCTTATGCTTTTAAAATATGTAGCAACACATGCGAAAGTAAATGCGAAGCATTGTAGGACTGTACGAACTCGTAAGAACAAGGACATTGTACAACATGAATATAAATTTACTCAGTCTTCTTTTACAAGAAGTTCTAGCACAAACTTAGCTCAAAGAATATGTGGTAAAACCCCCATTAGGGCGAGAGTAGAGCGGAATCGTAAACGACCCAACACCTGCCGCAGAACACTTTCATCTGCAAACCCAATTAGCCATTTCATGGACTCAAAGCAGATCTACTCTGCTCTGCAGGACAAAGTGACGCACAGCAACGTAACCAGGAAAACCTTAATAATCCAGGTGAAACTAAACTAGAAATACGATATTATGTTTCTGTGAAGGTATTGGCACAAGAGACGGGACTGCAAAAAAAGACAAAGACTTCAAGGGCAAAGCACAGAAACAAGTGCAGTTCAACCCGGGCCAGACCAAAGCCACGTGGAGAGTGCGGATCCTGAGTGACGGGGAGCACGAGCAGTCTGAGACCTTCCAGGTGGTTCTCTCGGAGCCGGTGCTGGCGGCTCTAGAATTCCCCACTGTGGCCACGGTGGAGATCATTGACCCAGGAGATGGTAAGAGCCATTATCGGTGTGTTTATGTTGTTGCCTTTGGGCTTTTATGACAAAATACCTTACAGAGGAAGATTTAAACTCAATGTTCGGACTTTGTATAGAGAGAATTTTCTAGATTAATGGTTCAATATTCTCAGATATGCTGATGGGAAGAGGGAAACCAAAATGTAATGAAAGGAAGCTACATTTTTCCAAGTGAATGATACATGTAGGATTACCAACATGTTCTCTCTGTTATTGTGATTCTATCCTTTAAAACCAATACTGCTCATCTCCTTTTCCTTGAATTAATTCATCATTTTAAAGTCCTTTAAATGTCTTAAAATACTTTTCAAACAAATGGTTTGAGAATTAGACACTTCTTGGATTCATTTGTTCCCCTGTATTACATTTAAGTATTCAAGTTTTCTTCATATATTTACAGCCAAAAATTTTCATTTGGCCATATGTGTTCACATTTGTTCATAATATCCTCCCACCCCCACCCAACCCACCCCATTCTGCAGTGAACACGGCATCCTTGACTCGTTGCTCTCAATTTCTATTAGCTTACATTTTCTTGTCAATGCACACCCTTGGCTGATGTTGGTAAAAGTGAACCCTTAATGCTTTTGTGTGTAATTTGACCTTTTTCCTCCCCCTGCCATACCTCTGTGGTCCTGGCTTGTCTCGATGTAGTCAGGAAAGAAAGGCAAAAAAAAAATGTTGAATGGCTTTTTGAGGGCTGGCATTTATACAAACCTTGTAGAGACTTCTAAAGCTGAAATCCTGTCAGAAGCCAGACATGACTTTCTTTTAAACTGCCAGCCTACTTTATTTTGTCAGTGAGAAAACTCTTAAATGGTCTGCAAAGATACAATCTCCTGAGTACATGAAATGGAGACCTATGTGGAAATCCCTGTGTTAAAAGACTGAGCATAATTAAAGAGAGTGGATAAGAAATCTGGAGCTCTGATATTGTTTGTTTAACTAACAGCTCTGCCTTTAGTTAAATATGAAGTTCAATTATGTTTATAATTGTCATTAAAGAACAGTTAGCGTTTAATTGCATTTAATTTTACCTGCATTACCTAGGGATAAATAAACTTTTTTCTAGTCATGAGTTTTGGGTATGTGCTTGAATAATAAAACTCTTCTCTTTTAAATGAGCCCATGACAGCTTTAATACATATAAACTGGTCCATTAGTTAAAGCTGGAAGCCACTTTTCGATATTTTATTTGCCAATTAGTACTACTGCCATATTTTACCTGAAGGAATAAGACACTCATTTCTGCCTTCCTATTTATAATTCCAGAGTGACTCTCTGTATCCATGATATATCTCAGCAGTAGGTTATTAAAAACAAAATAAAACATGTACACACCACACACGTGTGTGTGCGTGCACACACACACACACACACACACACACAGCGCTTATATAATCTATGCTGTTATCACATAAAACTTTGCCATAATTTCATTTCATGTAATGATCACCTAAGCTGTCTTAGAATTTTCTAGATTAAGTTCAGCCCTATTCATGTTAAGCTATGACCATCCTTTGATAACTAACAAGTGTTCTATAATGCCTGGTATGTTCCATGTCTTGTTGAAGACCACTGGTCTTGAAATTATAAGACGTGGATTTGATGCACAACTCTACTATTTCTAGTTGTATGACATTAAATCAAACAGTAGTTATTAAGATTTAGTTTCCTAATGCACAAAATAGGAAAAATTAATAATTCTCTTGTTACAACATTCCTATGAACAAGTTCTATAAAGCATAAAGCAGGATACAAATATTTCTAGTATCATAAACATAATGTTAGATTTCCTTTTAAAAAAATAAATAATTCTTTTTTCCTCCACAAAAGATCGCTTTCCCAACCATTTCAAAATTTTGATTGTTTCTTTCTATACTGTCTCCCCAACTCTTTACACATAAATAAACATATTAAGCCTATAAGTTCTTCCTCTGCATATTCCTTCCTGAACATGTCATGAGATTTTTTTTCATGCATTAAAAATGTATCCAGCTCATACTTGTGCTGGGTACAGCACTGTATATTGGGGATGCAAAGATAACAGGACACAATTCCTTCTGTCAAAGACCATGGGAGATGAGAAAGAGAGCCGTATAAATGAGTATTTGAAACAGAAGGTGATGTGGTACAACAGAGTATGAAGACTGTGTTGTGGGAGCCAGAAGAAGGAATAGCCGCCTCTGCTTTATTTTAGGCTGGGAACTGCTTTTACTTATTAACCAGTTTATATAAACACATGCAAGTCCGTGCTTTTCCCAATACTTTACTGATCCCTGACTAGTTCTGACAATGGCAATAACTGAAATTCATTGAGCACTTACTATGCACCAGACAGTGTGCGTAGCACATTATATATATTCCTTCATTCAGTCTCTCTCACTTCACCGCCTTGTGTACATATGTACCATTGTAGACATTTTGCTTGATGTTTATAGGAAGCTCTCAGTTGACATACGGCAAGTTTTAAAACATTAGTTCCCAAATTGTATGAAGAAAAGAACTTTTTAATGTAAACTTTCTCTCTCTGTCTACACATACACACACACACACGAATATATGCACACATACACATACATACATCCAGGCTTTTCACATGTTTATAATTATACTCTTATAATACTCTCTGTTCATTTGTATTTTTAAAATTATATAGCTGTTATTTAGGTAAAGATTTTAAATATGTATTTTATTTAAATATATCAGCATCTACAGCCACTGGAAAAGTAACACTTACCCTTATGCACTTACTTATTTATTTAACCTGAGACAATGGATGCTGTTTGATAACCCCCATGGCTTCAGATGTCTGTGGCCCTCTGGTTGGGAGCCATGGCTCTATTATCAATAGAGTTGAGTCCCATATAAACAATGAGTCCTGCGGCATCTGTGCAGAAGCACAGCCTGTCTTTCCAGTGGCAGACACCAGTGAAAGCCTGGTGCCCGGCAGCCCAATCCCATCCCTGAGAGCTTTGGAATGGCCGTGCATGGAGTGATGCTAAATCCCAAAGCCATGCTGACAGCTTGTACCTGCCCCTGCCAATCATGGAGGGACCCAGGCCCAGGTCAACTGTCAGAAGGCCCTTGAGAAGCCCACACTTTCGTCCAGAGTAGAAATATTTTGTTGTATGAAAATGGAGGACTGAAAAGGGGCTTTTTCTATTATTCAGTAAAATGTAGAAAGAATGGACCATTCTGCCATGATTATGGATAGCAACAACTTCCTAGACAAATGAGTTTGCTCATTGATTGAATATAAAAATGAATTCAATTTGCTCATAAATTGAAACATGCAGCACAAAGAGGAAGACTAGAAGAAGAGACAGAGTGCTGAATGGAGATGTTAATTTCTTTGTCATACTTCCCATGACACCAGATTTTTATGGCCCCTGGGGATACACCCATGAGTAATCGGTTATTTGTTATGATTTTTACTCACTCTTTTGTCCTTCTCTGTCCCTTTCCTGTCCTTCCTTGTTTCAGTTTGATTCTACATCACAATCTCCTTCCTTCTTTTTTTTTTTTTTGAGACAGGGTCTTGCTATGTTGCCCAGGCTAGAGTGCAGTGGTGTCATCATAGCTCATTGCAGCCTCAAACTCCTGGGCTCAAGCAATCCTCTCACCTCAGCCTCTCCTGCCTCAGCCTTTCAAGTAGCTGGGACTATAGGAGTGCCACCACAGCCGGCTAATTTTTCTATTGTTTTAGAGACAGGATCTTGCTGGGTCGAACAGGCTGGTCTAAAACTCTTGGCCTAAAGCGATCCTCTTGCCTTGGCCTCCGGAAGTGCTAGGATTACAGGTGTGAGCCATCATGGCTGGCCCACAATCTCCTTCCTTTTTACATGTCCATGGAAAATTCCAACTGAGAAAGGTTTTAAACTTCATGAATCATTTAACTCATTTTCTGGTTAAGGAACCTGAGAAATAGAGCCATCCTTTAGTCTCTGCAGAAGTCAACCACTTGTGGGCTGTTTAATTTCATTTTCTTTAGTACTGGTGCGATTACACTCCATGTGAGGGAATAGGTACCTTCGGCAAAATTCCATTGAGTGGTAACAATTGTCTTCCACTGGAAATCCTATGCGGTTAAGCTGGACTGCTGTCACAAGGCAGACAGTGACTTCCATGTGGCAAGGAGGACTTCGAAGGAATTTCAGGTCACTGCTATGTCCCCCTGACCTTTTTTCTAACTCATCCCCCAGTGTCCAAAAGGACTATTCCATAGTCAAGGGTAAGATGGTCACTGTAATACAAATCTCTACCATTGTTGAGCACCCACTGTGACCCAGACACTGCTTTAGAAGCTTTGCAACCTTATCTCAATTAAACCTTATGTTTATAACTCTGTGATATATATGCCATATTTCCCCCCTGAAACTCTTTCCTTGCCACTGAGTCATGCTGTCTTCTGTCATTTCACATGACTCAAAGTAATATCACAAATCATAATTAGTGTACTTTGCCACAGCAACATTGTTTCACTTATTCTTATATATGAAAACAATAATAAAGTAATTCCTTTCTTATTCTCTTATCCTTTCTCTTTCTGTATCAATCCTCAAATATATTAGTGCAGATGAATAAAACCAAGTGTGCTAAGAAAATAATGAAGACCCCCTCAGCTCTTGCATAATCTATCCGTATATTCAACAAATGTTTACTGGGCATCCCTCTATGCCAGAAATTCTGCTAGGAGCTAAGGACACAGATGCTACAGTGAAGAAGGCATACCAACCCTGAAGTTGGGCATATCATTAGGTGATTTCATTCCCCTACATTGTTACAATTAATAATACAGAATTCTGTGTGCTATGTAAGGGAGCAATCAGAGCCCATAGAAGGAATATCTAACCCATCTTGAAGGAGAAGGAAAGATTTCTAGGATGAAGTTTCTTAACTTTCTGTATAGTAAATTCTCTAACTTTAAGAAATTACACCATCTTTCCTGTTAGAAGCATATTGATATTAGTTAA